ATATTGAGAAGCTAAAAACAATAATTACATAAGAAGCTAAATAAAAAATGCTATGACCTGTTATATTATTTTATATGAATTATCTGTCATATTGAATAGCTAAATGGAATATATATAGCATATTAATGACATGATATTATTTAATTTTTATTTAGCTGTCATATTGAGAAGCTTAAAATACAATTTGTAATTGCATGCACTCATTTTTTAATAATATGAGTAATGAATATTGTTTAATTTGTAAATAATACAGTATTGCTTTATCTTTAGGTCTTCAGAATTATAGGTATATGTTATTTAATTTTGCAGTTTGCTTGGTCATTTCTAAATAATTGCTGAAAACTGTGAGAAGAACTTACTGATATATTATTGCATTTAACATTTTTATCATAATTATAAGTCATCACTATTGTTGTTTTTTATTTTCCCCTTATCTTCCACATTTAAAACTAGACCAGTTGTGGTCATAGGTTATATAATGATTTAAGCATTTATTTGGACACTGCGTCGAGTTCTTGATTTAGCCTTTTATTTTTTTGGGGAGGGCAGATTTGACATTCGCTCGAGTATGGAATCTAGATCAGATGTTTACACCCCCTCACTTAGTCTTGTTTTGCGCTCGCACACTTTCAGAATGACATATTAGGGATTATTATTGAAAGATCCCAGTTTTCCACATCTGGGCCATCGTCCAAGGAGCGCCTGTGGTTCCTGCTGTTTTTCCATTGACCCTTTTTAAAGTCACGGGGTCACATGCACGAAAAGGCCCCTGTGTGAGAATCTGAACGGTGTTATTATGAGGAATAATAACCGGCTCGCTTCTGTCTCGCTTGTTTCAGGGCTACTTAGCTCCCAAAAAGCTTTCTTTTATAGTTCTGTGGTGTGTTTACGTTAGATAAAGGATCCGTGCTGGTGCTGATGCGGTGGGAATTTGCAGCGACTGTCAAGGCAACACTCGCACGTATCTCAGCAAAATAACACACTGCAGTTGGCAGACGGAGAGCCGACCGGATTGAGCCAAAGTAAAGATCGATTGATGATGAAATTGAGCTTTAAAGTTTGAAATAATAAGCATCTGAAGAGATGGATTATGTTTTTCCTGTTTAAGAACATGTA